GCAAATGGAATTACGTACATCTCACATGGTCATATGACCCCAAAGTTGAAGGGGAGAGACATATATAGCTGGATATTTTAGACCTTGAATTTTCGGTCAAGATTCCTGTAAATATATTAATTTCTAGTTAGTATGGGACTTGTGGCTAGTGTGACCCCCCACAATTTTTTCAGTTAAAGAATTTTTTTTCATAGTAGAGACAGATTTCGAACTTGAGACCTCTAATAGTTATAAACTTACAGATAATTCAAAAATACATTAAAATAGACAATTTTTTAATACTTATTATCGAATAGTACACGAAAAATAAATAACTGAGATTAAAAATCTCACATAACATTAAATATATTGTTAATCTAATAATAACTAAAACACACGTAGCACTAATGTTTCTAACTTAACATTGCCACACCCTTAAACATATAGTCATTAAAAACTTCTCCAAATTTCGTTGGAACTTAGAAGCCGCTAAGCATGTGATGGTGAATTGACTATGACTACTTTCTGACATTGTTGCAGAGCAAGAAAGATTAAACTAGACTCTCATGTGACTCAACACAATGATTCCACACAATGATTCCAAATCAATCATTAATCAGTGACAAAATCAGTAGTTTGTGATTTCTTTCATGATCTTTTTGTTCTTGTTAACTAATTAACATTATAAGTACTGGGCAATTAATTAAGCCATATTGCTGAATTCTCTTATATAAACCAACTCCCTCTAGTGAGAACCTGAAGAAATCCTAGATTTGGCTAAGAATATCATCTGCCTAGTGACTAGTGCCTAGTGCCAACCCTATAAGCCTAATTATAAAAATGCATGTCTCTTTTTTTTTTTTTTTTTTTTTTTTTCTTCTTTTTTTTTGGCTAGCTAGCTTTTCCTTAGCTGGATTGTCAGGAAGATTTGAAATTCTTTTGATTTCATACGATTCTTCATAATTAATTTATTCTCGACTAATCAATTAACTCGGTTCTTCTCTACATAGGTTGAAAAATAGAGGTCAAGTAAGAAACACATAGATGGATCGAATTCAACAGTAGAAAAAGTAGTGCCGGAGTCAAGACTTAACCACAATGAGCTTGTTATAAAGATATAGATTTCATTATAATTGTCTACAATGAGTTCTTATTTGAAAATATAACATCTTTATCAATAATGTATTTAGATTAGTTTTCTAAATGTACACAATCAAATTATCCTTTTAACTATACATTGATGTTCACAAATCACAACATGAGACTCTTTCCATAATTGTAACGGGTAATTAAGTGTAACTAATTTATCCATGTCAAAGGCTAGAGAAATAAGTAGTAGTTCGCATCCATCTAGATTCAGCAACACAACACACTAATTTCAAAATAGTGTGTGAAAAATATGGAAATTAAAGAAGAAAAGCAACGCATGAAGACAAAAACCCTAAATCGAACCAAACTGATTGAAGTTCTTATTGGAAATTGGGTCAGTAATAAAAATTACATGCAGTATAGAATTATTGAGACCAAGTGATCCCATTAACCCCAGATTCAGATTCTCTTTCCTCCTATTCTCTTCATTTCCATTGCCCTACTTTCATCCATAGTCGTTCAAAATATTTCCAAACCGATTCGAAGATAAAGATTATGCCACGTTAGCAAAAACAACCCCCAAACTTCTTTAAACCAATAACAATGATGACCGTGAACCAAAAACAAAACGATCCTGTCTTCTTATATTTCTTCCACCTATCATATATAGTTGCTAAGTAAACATAAATAATGCAGGGTCATGGACAAACAGTTGGTACAAGAACATCTAGAGGGTCTAGCTCAACAGCAAGAGGTTCGAGTTCAAATGCAAGGGTAACTGTGAATTGGACTTTGTATAAAATACTTATATATTGTTTGACTCGCACTTGTATGAAATTAATAATTGGGTGTAAATGATTTTGGTGTAGAAAACTGGTATGCCTCACCACTCTGGAGCTGCTCCATCTCGAACTAGGCAACAAAGAAATTCTAAACTATACGTAATAACAAGAATCAGTCTTAAAAAAAAAAATCTGGTATTTAGGTTAATATTTGTTGCTTTGGGTTTGCTGGCATTTGAGTGAGCTCCTATGTGTCCTTTATTGGGCTAATTATGTGTATGGGATTTTTTTTATCATGCTATTGTGACTGAATTTGGAAAGAAAAAAAAATCAATCACTTATTTTGAATAGTTAGTTATGCTTGAGTGTGCTGAAATATGAATGTAGTTCTAGTGATGAATTTGTTGAGATGAGTAATTACGTACTTTTCTTATTTGAATTTGTGAATCGGGGCGGTTATGTGAATCAAGTCACAAGGAAGACTACTGAAATGGCATCACAATACCGACATGTTGCTAAAAAATGCAAGATCATGGAGAGTTTAACTATGATGTGTTGGAGGGCTTTCTTGCTTGCTGTTAATGAAGGGCTTTGGTGTTGAGATTAAGTAGTTTTTTAATAGGATTATGCTGCAGAACCATGAATTGATAGGTTTCTTTGATTTTGGCACTCTAGGTATAAGACTGTTGCTTATCTTTGTGTATTTTGTTAACTTTATTAAGGCACCCGAAGTGCAAAACTGATCATCGCAAGAATCGTCGATTTTGTTTTGGTAATTTAGGCGCAGAGCCAATACTTTGTAGTTGGTAGTTAGATTTTTATGGCTAATTCAAATAACTAGTGTATGGAGTGGACTAGCGGAAGAGACAAAGCAAAAAATAGGCTCAAATTTCAAAATGGTTCATGTGTTATAGCCATATGGCCAATTTAATCCATGAGTTTTCGATTTAGCTTATTTAGTCATCGTGTTTGGCACTGTTAGCCAATTAAGGACATTTAATTCAATCTATTTTTAAAAATTCATAAGAAAAATTATATGAGATATAATTACCCTTTTTCTTTACAAAAAAATGCAAATCAATGAGAAATAACACATATAAGAGATAAAGCTTCCAATCTAAAAAATGGTTAAGGTTGTGACATACAAAAGAGAGGGGGTAATGTTAGAGAGGAGGTCAAAGAGTTGGGAGGAGAATAATTTTTCTTTTAATTTTCAATTTTATTTCATTTTTAAACATTTTAAATCAAATTAATAATTGTATAATAATTTATATTTTTTTATAGAAATTAGATGAAAGTGTCCTTAATTGATTAACAAAGATAAACACAATGATCAAATTGGCCAAATTGAAAACACAGGGACTAAATTGATCCATGGCTAAAACACAAGGACCATTTTACCATTTAAGCCAAAAAAATAATAATATGTTTTCCACATTAGGATAAAAACCTTTTTGTCCTCAGACAATTGTCATGTGTCATGCAGGTGACCAAGATGAATGAAAAATTGGATGAAAATTACCAAAATCCAACATAAAAGGAAAATTGGCCAAATATAAAAGTGCAAAGGTAATCAGCTAAAATTAAAATTCAGAGGAAAACCAGCAACTCCATACAGGATCAAAGAGAAAATCGACATATAACTAACGTCATTTTGTGCTTTAAACAGGTGGTAGAATTCTTGTTTCCTAAAGGGAATTAAAAATTTTCAACGACCAAAATGAAAGCAGGGCAGTCAAGGAGAGAGATAAGACGGAAGAGAATCTGAATCCTTAACCCCATCTCCACCTTCCCTCCGCTACTGGCATCTAGAATATGTTAGTAGTAGTAGCCGTAAAAGCTAACTGAAGTAAAACTTTATGAGTAGATATTGGAGAATAGTCTCATCAACCTAAATTCTTTAGATTACGTAAGTTATATATATTTATTGGACTCTATAGTGCGTTGTCACAGAAATAAAAGAATAGTGAGAAACAATAAACTTTATCCTTAAATTAAATTAAAAAAAATTAAGATGATAAGTATACCTTAAATATTGCATCAAAATGAACATGGGAGAAACTCTTGCGCATTTGGGCATAAACCATTAAATCTGATGCCTATTAAATTCAATGATAGATCCAATAATTTGAATGCGCTTATTATTCAAAAACAATGGATCTTGATAGCCTCTGTGAGTCTTTTCGGTCCCAAAAAAGCGGACTGTCGTGGCTAAACCACCAGCTGGTCTTCTTTTTAACAAGAAAAAAAAATGTTGATTCGATCCTTTTGAAGGTCTATTTCTGTATTTGAAAAACGAAAATCATTTTAAACATGTCCCTAATGGTCCTAATCTGTCCCATTTTCAATTTATTTATGTTTTATTTAGATGAACTTTCAAAAGAGAGCTTCACCTATAGAGACAAAAACACAAAATACATTTCATAGAACTCCACTAGTTTGATCAAGGACAGACAAAAACCCAAACCCCAATAAACCTAACCCATAAACAAGCAAACCAAAATTTAAAAATTTCAACCATGCCTCGCAAAGAGGATCCAGCAAGGATCCTACTAACAAATAGATTTGTCCAAAACTGCACTATTTATAAAAATTTCAAAATTAATTTTATATCTATAAAAAACTAATTTATGAAAATTAGTGTCATAATTCATGCACTCAGCAAGATTAGTTTAATAAATTTCAACGCTTCTGCAAGATCAATTTCACAATTTATGTACTTCTACTAGATCAATTTCAAAACTTTTTGTGCGTGTGCAAGATCAACCTTAGAATTCCTACATTTTTTACAAAATTAGTTTCAAAATTTCAACAATTCTGCAAAATCCTCTTCAAAATTTTAGCATTTTTGAAACGTCAATTTCAAAACTCTTGCACTTCTAGAAGAATATTTTCAAAATTTCAGCATTTTTTTAGAATCAGTTTCAAAACCCATGCATCCAAATCATCAAAACTTGAAAATCGAATACTTTAAAAAAATAGTAGGAATTGAGTTCATCCCACCCGACGAGATCCACAAAACTTTTGGGCCTGAAGGCTGTAATGGAAAATACGAAATTGAGTTCCGCCACGAAAAGTAAGGATTGTCGGTAAAATACAAAACAAAGCCCACAAAAGTTTTGCTATATATACGACCAACTCAAAACCGCAACGACAACATTAACAACAACAAACTCTCCTCAACAAAGCACTAGTTTGAATTAAAAACTGTAAGCTCTCTTTCTTTCTTCTGCTTATGTAACTCTCCCTATTCGCTTCCCTCCTCGACCCCCCTCTCTCTCTCATCCCGCTCTCTTGATTTCAAATTTCAAGATCTACGACTTGGGTTTTGTTTCGAAGTCCCAGAAGGGTCCACGAAGGGCAAAGCTCGTGACTTTCGGACATTCTTCACAAACGTTAGCCCCTGCACTTTGCTTTTTTTTTTTCTTTTTTTTTTTTTCTTCTAGGGTTCTTATATTCTTGCCCATTTTTGCACATGGACTATGATGTCTCCTAAAGCAGTGGTGAGAAAAGTTTGAACCTTTACCGTTTTCTCGGATCTGGGTCGTGTTCCTAAGGGATTTTGGGTGGTGGGATAGTGTTTAATTTGGTTAATTTGTATAATTGGGTTTCGTTCGATCCCTGCGGAGTGGGTTTTCTGCAAATTAGGGTTTTGGGGGTTCTTGGGTTTTGTTCGAATAAGGGAGATTGAGGTTATAATTGTGTGATTTTTTGGTGTTCGTCTGTGGGTTTTGTTTTTGGGAATTTGGGTTTTGGCAATGCATGGAATTAGGGTATTTGACAGGTTTATTTTGCTCTCTATGCCTGAAATGCTAAGGGTTTGGATTTCTTACTTGTTGTGCTAATAGTGAATAAAGAGAAAAGAAAAAATTACTGTGAAACATTTTCTGCTCTGTTTGTAAAGGGGTTACAAATTACTTGGGTTTGCCAACTTAAAGTGACTCTCTAATTTCGCATTTTCGGCTCTTTTCATTTTTGCCCTATTATAATGATCATTACGGATACTGGATAGAGTGGAAGAAACCAAAGATTGGATAAGGCATGAATTTTTTTTCAATGAATTTTACGATTCACAGATTGATAAAATAAAAACCGTAATGATGCGAGTGTTATTTAAATTCCCATACTGCATTTATTTACTTAAAACAGTTGTTTGTTGCCTTTATCATATAAGTAAATGTACGAGAACTATGTACCAAACAAGTTCCCAGCAGTTCTGCTGTAATTTTGTATTAATAGCATTGGATGAGACCGCTTGTTGCCAACTAAGGGTGAATTCTTGTGACCTTTAGACAATTTTGTTCCTCTCGAGTTTGTACTTCATAACAGATTCAACCCAAGTAGTCACTGATTTTCTTTGCAAATTGTTAACTTTCTCAACAGAATGTGTAATCCTTAATTTGATAAATATACAGATTCTAAATTATCACTATTTTTCTTTTTACTTATATTCAGGGTAAATATACTTCGCAATCAATAGCTTTGGAAGACCACTAACTGCATATGGTGCAAACTTTCATCTAAATGCTCTGCTCTGTTAGTTGTATCTAAACAGTAATAGTTATCCTTTCGTCTGAGGTAAAGTTACAGTTGACACAATTCTTGTACTATCATGTATACCTTTATATGGAATAACTGCAGGCACTGATGATGATGACCTTCCTCCATGTCATCAAAACAGAATTCCTCGAGGGGATTAAGTCTCAGGAAATAAAAGATCTGCAGTAGGTTCTATCTCATTTTCTAGGATGTATACAGACATGGAGGCCCAAATTCATCACCTTGAGCAAGAAGCGTACTGTGCGGTCCTACGGGCATTTAAAGCGCAGTCAAATGCGATTACTTGGGTATTTATGGTTGCATGTCTGTGTGCTTGTTATCTTGAATCCTTGATATTGTCTGTCAATCAGCCTTTAATATTTATCATGGGTGTGAATATCAGGAGAAGGAAGGTTTGATTACTGAACTTAGGAAAGAACTAAGAGTATCAGATGATGAACACAGAGAGCTTCTGACCAGGGTTAATTCTGAGGACATCATCGATAAGATAAGGTAAGCCTCTTGAAAGTTGAAAAATATGTAACAGAGTGACTCATAAATTGGCTGGGGATTTAGTATTATACTTTTTAATTGCCGCATGGTGGTGAACATATCAGAGTGTGGAGAGACAAAGGTGGTCATCAAGCTGCCAGGCTTACTTCATCTCAGAATGCATATGAACTTTTACCTAGTCCTACTATTTCAGCGTCCCGAAAGAAACAAAAAACATCACAATCGGTAACTTCTCTAGCATTCTGTCTCCCATTGCTTGCTTTAATTTAGCACTTCTTTGGCAGCCTTTGTGTTTAAAAGTAATTTAAGGAGCTCATTTGAGCCATGAGAAAAGGCAATTATAAACTTAAAAAGTACTCAGTATGGTCGTGTGAAGAAAAACTGTTAGTTGACCTTTGTTTTGTTTGTTGTTCGTAGCATGGTCAGCCATTCCCTGGTTTATCCTCAATGAAGTCCATGAAATACCCTTCAACAGGACCTGCTGGAAGTAGACAATTCACCCGCAGTTCTTCTGGTCCCTTTGTCGAAGCGGCTGTTGCAGAAGCATCTGATTCATTAGTTGGAAGGAAAGTGTGGACAAGGTGGCCTGAAGACAACAGCTTCTATGAAGCCGTTATCACTTACTACAACCCGGCTGAGGTAGGTTTTGAAGTCTCTGTGAGGTGTTTCTGATTCAGTCCTGTTACAACATTAGTTGTTTTGAATATGTAAGTTTTCTGGTAACGTGCACGTGTCAGAGTGAAAGAAGCATAGATGAAATTTTGCCGAGTTAATTTGTATTATTAGTGGCAACTTCCGGTTTGTTGTTTTATTATTTAATTTATGTTTGATAGGGTTGTGCTCTTACCAGATTTGATAGGATGGAAGCTAGAAATTCTCTTAGATTGCATAAGTGAACACTGTACCATGTAATACCACTAGGGGGAGGCTTGTTCGTATATTCTACGTTCAGTTGACTTTAATTAAAAATGAATAGCATAGACATTCTTTTTGATTAAAAGTTGATGACTTCTAGTCTGAATCTCCTCGTCAGTGTCAGTTCTTAAGATTGTTTTGCCTCTTCTAATAAATAACACCCAACATTCTTACAAGGTATTTTGAATAATTGAACCAAAGTGGTTGTCATCGGTACATGACGCCGGAATAAGTTTAATGTTAAAGATACATCCGTTTTGACATGTTTTGCCACTTTTAGCTGACATTCAAATAACCCATGTTTACAGGGTCGACATGCTTTGGTCTATGACATACATACACCAAATGAGACATGGGAATGGGTTGATCTCAAAGAGGTAAGTCTATAGGTTCTATGTGATGTGTGCATGTATTCCACTACGACATTAACGTGCTAATGTTCCTGTAGCTATTTGTTGAACCAAATCATTAACCGAAAAGTAGGATCCACAAGGAAAAGCATAAGGGATACAGATTTAGAGCTTTTTTTTCTTCTGCTAGCCTTATTAATAATAAGCAGATACCAGCATCTTAGTCCTTGATTACATAACAACCTATATAATTAAAGCCCTCCAATATAACTAAAATCACTGGCTTTTATTGACCATTTATTCTTGACGTATATACATTTTTCACATTGCTGGTTTTAATCATATTCATCCATCTTGTTTTTGGTAACCGACCAAGTTCTATCTCAAGAAATCAAGAATTTTATGTTTTATTTTAAAAAGGGGACAAGGACTCCATTGACTCGTTACTGATTACAGATCTCTCCTGAGGATATCTGTTGGGAAGATCCTGGCCCATCAGGACGCAGGGCTAAGAAATCTACTAGCCAGACCACAAGAAGGCGAGGACCCACAAAGTCTCAATCAAAGAAAGAACTTCCATCACAAAATGGTATAGGGAAGGTGCCAGATGATTTGGAATTATTAAATACTGATACCCTGGTAAAGGAGGTATGTATGATCAACTTGAGCCTACCCTACCTGAAATTATGTTCGTTATAGTCATTTCTCTTTTTTTTTTCCTTCAAAATTTTACTAGGTGGAGAGAGTTTTCAATGCAAGTGAGCCAGATCCTTTTGAGCTTGAAAAAGCAAGGAAAATGCTGAAAGTGAGATTAATATGCATCCTTCACCCTTTCTATCCCGTTCCTCATAGTCTAAGTTAACATTCCAATTTGCCATTTATATGTATCGCATGCAGGATCACGAACAGGCCCTGGTTGACGCCATTCAAAGGCTGGCATATGCATCGGATGGTGAAAGTGGTAATAGATATATGTGTACATAATTATCCCTGATAACTCGGTTTTACATTTCTTTTTCTCCTGTTTTGAGCTCAAAATAAGTTAAATAGCCAATTGTTGTACCATCCATAGAGTTTCCGTTATGGATCAGCACGTTGGAATTCTTTCTCCTTAGCAGTATTTGCAATACTTGTGCCTTTGTTAGTCCATATTTATCTTTTAGTTGATTTAAAGGAAAATAACCCATCACATAATAGTGTGTACGAAATGACTGAGACCTTGTTATATTAATGAAGACTCGTAAATGGAATGGATCCTTCAAGATGGATGGATTACTCGCTAATAATTATACGATCATCACTCTAGATCCAAATTCTGTCTGCCGGTTCCCAACCCCCCTCCCCCCAATACATTTGTTTATACATACTTGCAATAAGGGAAGATGAACAAACGTTATGACCATGATTTGTGATTAAGCTGTTTGAATTCTGCTTATTTCTTTGTATTTTTTCTTCAAAGCAGATGGAGAGCACACATTTCTGCACAGTCGGTCAATGGATGGATAGCAACGGGAACAAGTAGCGTTGTTGAAAGCGTCACGGTACTGACTTTGAGTCCACAATGGCATGATCTTTGGCTGGTCGGCTTTGAAGGCAGCAGGAACACATGCGGTGATGATGTCGACTGCATAGGCTTTCTGTTTGATCGAATTTTAGGATTTTTCATGCGTAACTTTAGGCACATCCACATGTAAAAAGATCTCGATTTAGTGTTCCAGATACGGTTTGAGAAGACTCTTTGTTTCAGCAGTTAATAGTCTGAACCTGATAGATTGTTGCTCAAATGTAAAGTTGCATATAGCAGATGACATCTAGAAATGTACAATTTTGTTGATTTCATCGTCTTATTTCATGTTATGAACTTGTCCTGATTCCTGTATGAAGCTGGAGATTTATAGCTTACAGTGTTGATCTCACGTCGCGTTTAAACCGCTTACATAAATCCTGCGAAGAACGCAAACAAATTCGTATTCCTGGAAAAATATCATTACTGCGGTTAAACTCAGATCATTGAGAGTAAACATTCCATCTGGTTTTACCTTAAAATGGTGATGATTAAATTGATAAATACCTGAACACGAAGCGAATGTTGGACTGAATTGCAGTAATTCGAGCTGTATGAATTCGATTAGTGGACTTTACTACACCAGGTAGATACCCGGGGCTTGCCCTCATGAAATTGGTGCATCCATCCTGCCCTGGGTGCCGGTAGAGCCGGAGATGAGAGCACCCTACACAAACGAATATCAAAGAATGAAGGATTTCAGTTCATCGTTTAGGAAAGGATGGGCTCTAATTACTGTCGAAATCCAGGCTGAGGTTTTTCATTCATCGACGAACATCAAAAGAAAATACAAAACGCAACATACTTCGTGATTACATCGACATTCAAATGTAGGAACTATACCCTTACAAAGCTTAACATAGTTCCATATACTCGGCATATGGATCTTGATGCAAGAACGATGTTCTTGTGCCATGTTGACCACAATGATATTAGTTCATCCATATACAAACATGGCCCTTCTACTCACAAAAGCAAAGGAAAATTCAGATAACAAAGACAATAGGTCGACTAAACCGATTATAAAAGAAAAGATTGCTCTAATACCGTGGAAGCAATGCCGGTGAACCAAGTACGGTTCCATGTATATCTTACGTAAACAAAGTATTCTAAAGTGTAATGACAGTGAAATACAAATGTCCAAAGCGAATCATACACCACCAGCAGACTGGATTCCAAAGGTACAAGATGGAAGAGGCAGCTAGCAGAAAGTTGAAATACCAAATCAGTTCTGCATTAAGCAGCTAAACTTGTCTCCGACGTGCAACCAGATTATAATAAAATGTTTTAGCTAACTATCAAAGGTCCTGTATAACAACAGAATGTCCAGTGCGCACAATGTTTTTGAATCTTTTACTTCATACCAAAAGAATAAAACGATCAACACAACGATTGGGCTTCGTCTACATATTCCCAAAACTGATCCGTTGGACGAATAGACATGTTCTTACACTAATCACATGAAGTTTCTATGAATCAAATCGATCTCAGAATGCACTCTACAACAGAAACAATCCTCCTAGTGTAAATTCTTCTACCATGAAAACAATCCCAAATAACATAACTCAACCAAACGTTGCGGATTACTGGTGTCTCATTCCTTATTGTGTAAATGTCTTTGAAATAAATCAACATACATCAGCATACTACATATCCTATAAGGTAGCGCAATAGATCTTGTTCTTTCGGGACTCAGGGACTTACAAGGATAAACCCATCACCAGAAAATGATTAAAATCCATAATCTACCTCATTAGCATCTTAATCGCAACCTTAACAAGATCATAAACATCTCTAAAATTCAAGCAGCTCCAGTTAAAAATCAACACTTGATCAATAATTTCGAAATCTAAAGCACCAAATGCAGTCATAAACTGAATAATTAAGAGAATCTGTCACACCCCAATTGCACTTGTAATTTGTAAACAAACCGATCATCCACCAAACTCAAAGACAAAGAAAAACAGGAGAGAAATATTAACAGAGAGAAAAAAAAAAACAAAAAAACAAAAAAAAAACACACCCGCAGAAGAACAACGATAACGAAATCCGATTCTGCAGATGAATTGGAAGGGACCCTTTGAGTCAGCAACTACACCGTGAAGCCTGAAGGCATTGCTGCGAATCTACCGGCGTATCTGATATCAAAGGCGACGGCTTTGAAGCCCCATTTGAGCAGAAAGTTGGCTATCTGGTTTTGGGATTATTTGGGTTGGTTTTTGAAGATCATGTGGATTTCCTCCTCCCCTCCTCTGTCATGAAAAGAGTGTGATTGTAACTGGCAAATGATGTTAGAGAGAGAGAGAGAGAGAGAGAGAAGGAGAGAGAGAGAGAGAGAGAGAGAGAAAGAGGATGACTTTGTTTTGAAGGAAATGATATCCACAACAAGGATTTTTGTGTTGAATTTGCATCATTGCGTGTGACATTTTGAGAAGAAAACCTGGAATAAAGGGGTACCCCTCGAGGAAAGGAAATTCAAAGGAAGCAGGTCCTCCATTAGACTCTGGCTTTTTTTAATATTTTTTTTTTGTTAAGAAATAAAGGAAAATATGGGCTAATATTACTCCAATCTAGTGATATTTCACTTCACTTGTTCCATTTAACTTATAAGTAAGAGATCTTAAATTTGGTTCTCGTCAAAAGAGAATTTGAACCACATTATTCCTAACTCATTACCAGACTTAACTCACTCTCACATCCTCTTAGTGTAGATAATATCAGTTGTTCTAAAAATTAAAAAAAATCATTGATATGTGATGGATAAACCGATGGTTATGATAAAAGAAAATGAAATGTTCCAATCGTAACAATTATATGATAAAATGGTGACATGTCATCATGTAAAAAAGAATAAATGATTTATTACACATAAGAAAGAATAGATAACTCACATGAGCATGTTTGAAGTAATTTTACATCACACTTACATCATTGAAATTTGAAACTGCTTGTCATAAAAAAGATAACGGTTCTCAAACCTAAAACGTCACATTTAGACCTTTCGGCAGAGAGTCATCTGCTTAAGCTACCTCTCCAAAAGGCCATCCTCAACTTCTTGGCTTGCAAATTCTTCCTTGGAATGCCAATAACAATTCTCATAATTTACGCATTCGATTATCAACATATGTCATTGAGAAATATCAATTTCGATCTATATCGTTTGCTGTTTAACTGATTTGTTTGCCAGGATGATGCTTCAAAAAGGATCTAAAAATTTGACCAGTTTATATGGTTGATGACAGGTGCATTTCAGCTTCCTCGGCCTCTAGCTCGTTTAGTTGGACCAGCTGTTGTTGGTGCCGCTGCTGCCGCCCTCTTTGAGGGCCGTCCCGCACTCCTTTTCGATGGGCTTTCTTGCTCTTTTGTCGCTTGTCTCCCACCAGAACTTCTGCGCGAACCTTGATCTTTCTGCGTGTTTCCTTTGCCATTTCCATTTTTCCTCTGCTCTGCTCTTCTCCCTTTGCTGTTATTCTCAGGGTTCTTTGATGTCTCTAGCAATGATCCGGTTTTGGACGAGGAGCTCTTCATCAAGAAATTTGCGGCACTTCGCTTTTTCCCACTTGCGTTATTGTTTCTCTTCTTTTCCGTCTCTGCTTTGGATTCTAAGTTCTCATTGCTAGATACCACTCTCTTCTTTTCCGTCTCAGCTTTGGACTCTGAATTCTCATTGGCATCTGAACTTCTGTTGTTGTTAGTATAACTACGGGTCCTGACATTTTTGCTCGTGTTGTTTCTTGTACTGCTCCCAAGTCCTTCTTTTCTTCTCTTCTTAGTGACACGGAATTTCTCAATTTCATCCGAGGACTCTTCTTTTTGTTTCCAATTTACAGCTGGTTTGACATCACAAGTGGCCTGCTTTTTTCTTGTGTCTGGTCCCAAAGAAGATGTGGATGCTCTTGCAGCAATGGAACTGCGCTTGCAACAAGCATTCAATGGAAGTGAGAGTTTTGATTTTGCTAGCAACGAATCTGAAGTTTCAGGATCGGGATTCAGAGGTGGAGCTGGTTGTGTCAGAATTTCTTCTTCGGATGGTGCATCTTGTTTAGGAGCCAGACGAGCCATTTCCTTTGACACAAGGGACCGAAGCTCACACGCAGCCTTGTATTCTGGAGACATTTTCCCAAAGAAGACTATGGCATTGTTGTAAATAATCAACAGATCTCGAAAGAATAACATTCTGCTGCAATGCGAGTACCAACCTCCTTCAAGTCTGGTTTGCACCATTTCGAAATCTACATGTTGCCGGATCATTTTTGTATAAATTGGGTTATCCTGCAACATTTGAGAAGCATAAGCGATATTGTTATTTCATATGCCCAAGTACCCAAAGAATTACAGATATGATGATGCTGTTACACAGAGAAATATAAGGTCGTCGCAATACAAGAATTTGATTCTCGGACTAAAAAATGTAGGCCAGGGCCCTAGCACCCAAGTTTGAATCTCTTCCCCGTCAATTAGACTAGTTTAAAATATCTTTTAACTTATCTCATTGGTTCAGACAGGTCCGCTTCACCCTTTTTCAATTGCCCCTTTATTACAAGAGATTGGTTTATTTTAAACTAAAACTGAACAAAGTGGAATGTGAATTCAGGCACACATCCATCCCAGCCATTGTTATATTTATCTCCACTTGATTAGAAGATGTTTGAAGTTCGAATCATTCTTATATTAGGAAAATGAAAAAAGTGGATACCATGACGTGATGTGGTACACCTATATCACACTACAATTTTTGCCTTTATTTTTTTTATTCTGTCTATAGTTGAAGATCAAATCGAGAGTAGACATAATTTTTTTTTCTTCTTTTTTGGGAAGTAGTATTCTACTGGAACATGAGAGAGTGTGAACCCTTGACGCAATGACTTTAAAAAAGAGATTCCCACCAGAAATCAGGTACGCATAATTGGAATTTGAACAACAACTAGACAAATTTGGGTTGGACGTAAAGACCCATCCACCCCATTTTTCACATGCACACCCAAAAAGGCAGCAGGTGGGTGGATCCCTATTTTTTTTTTTTTTTCTTTCAAAAAAAAAAGAGAGACAATTAGTGACCATAGTTATCCCCTCTAGACTTGGGGAGGCTATGAAAAAATTTACCATCCCCATACCAAGTCAAATAGACTCACCAATTGAAACAATTTAGAGCATTAAACCCAAACTTCCCACATTTTTTGTTTATTGAAGAGCCGCAGTCAACGCCCTTATCACTGGGCCACTTCTTGTGGTTACTAGTGGATCCTTCTCAGTCTTCCTAATATGCACCATCACCTAGAATATAACCGCACAAAATCAAGGTTTTAAAATACGCTAGGTGCTAGTCGAGCGACAAGCTGGAGCCTAGTGCATGGGCGACTAGGCATGCACCTAAACAGACTAGACGAATTTAAGTAAATCTATTACATTATGTGTAAATAAGTGTCAAATTATACTTAAAATATACATAATTTCATCATAAACCACAAAGTAGAATGACATATGTATTATGAAGTATTAGAACATATGAAAGCATGAGGAACAAGGATATAAAGTGTGTTCATTTAAGTATGTAACAAGTTTTTTACAATTTATTAAAAAAAATGAAATACACTGAAAGTTATCTATTCTCTGTCTCAGTGAGTTGCGACCTAAGCAGGTATAGACAGGCTAGGCGGGTGTCTAGGCGGTTTAAGCAAGCGCCTCAATAGGTCTTGGTGCCATTCCTTCATTTTCAAACGTAATCAAGATTGTGACCAACCACCTAACACTTAAAACGGGCCTAGGCAGAGCTAGATGAGAATTTTTATAACTGAACACAAAATATGGAAAAGAACAATAAACGTGACAGCCATTAAACCCGCGTTGACATGTCGCCATCTCCTTGGATAGTGACGTTGACCCAAATACGTTGCCGTTCGATGATTTAATATTCAAAACTAGAATTTATTTGGACGTATGGCATTTTACCACTTAAATCATTTTTGTTTCAACATTGCAATGCTGCATCAAATTACGGTTCATTGCAAAGTCGAAACTCTGATAAATTTTCTATCAATTTATCGTTAAATGATGACGTGATACAAAAAATAAATAAAAAACAAATTACATCTTATCATCTCAATTTTAAGAGACATAATAAATTCATACCTTTTTTTTAATATTTAATGTTATATATCAACTTACGAATTTGTTATAGTGTCATATCTCGTTTCTTTGTCCGTCAATAGTTAATAGATAAATTGACGGACAAGAAGTCATTACAACAAATTTGCAAGTTAATATATGACATTGTCATGTTCAAAAAATGAGTTGTGAATTTGTTATGTAATTCAAAGTTAAGGTTATAAAATGTATTTGTCATTTTTTATATTTTTTAAAATTTAGAAAGAAGAGTGAGCTTCGTGCCTGTCACTTCATCATTAAGACCATCTCCAATGATTTGGCTAAAAACTAAATATTTTAGTTCGGAAAATTTAGCTTTTAACCCAGAAATAGTTTTCTTGTTCCAACCATTCTAGCTTAAAATTTTAGTCCGGAATTATTAACGAATAAACTTAGACTATTTTTTTTGTTAAATTAAATTTAAAAAATAAATAAATATATGAACTATCATAAATTAATTTTATGAACATTTTAATCTAAAAAAATTTAAATTCTGATAAATATTGGGTGGAGTCCACTTCGATTTCTGGGCCAAAGTTTTGGGAAGGAATTTGGTCTTGGTTTAGCATTTAATATTTAGCCCAAATTTTCTTCTTGGGTTGGAGTGGGTTAGGGATGAAATTTTAAAGAGTAATTTGACTTTTAGTCCATCATTAGAGTTGGTCTAAATAGTTCAATCAATAAAAAAATAATTAAAAATCTGACCTTGCAATGAAACGTAAATTGATGTATGACAATATAATGTTAAAATGATAAAGTACGAATTTGTTATGTAACCTAAACTAAACTTAAGGTGATAAAATATTTTTTATTTTTTATTTTTAAAGGAAAAATAAGCAAACCTGGGAATGGAGCCGGCACTCGAATAAAGAGGCAAACTTATGACAGCGAAGGATCGCGAGGAAATCCACCAACGGCTGAGATTCAACTGGAACCCTCTTCGTGGCGGGAGATCGATCCTCCTGCTCCGGTTCACTTGGCTCACCCGGTCCGACCGGTTCCGGATCATTCCCCGCTTTTCTCGACAATCTCACCGAGCTCTTCACTTCACTGCTACTTTGACGACTCTCCTTCGTCCCTTCTTCCCCTCCCTTTGACTCAGCCATCGATTCCCTCAACTCGCCCGAGTTCCCCTTCTCCGATTCCATACCCGCCGGTTCTTTCGCCACCGAATCGGAACTTCCGTTGCACGAATCCTCCACCGCCGGATTACTCGACTTCTCGGCCGACCCGATATCCTTACCTGCTGGTTCAACCGGTTTATTCGGATCCGAACCATTACCCGTACCGGCATATCCGGTGCCGGGTTCCTCGGGTTTCCGATCTGTCGTGTTCGACTCGTCAAACGACTGGCCGTCGTGCACCAATAAATCGCCGGAGATATCTTTTTTCTCCGGCAAGACGTCATCCGGTTTAATCTCTTCCTCTCCGGTTTTCTCTAGATCCGATTTTTCTACCGGTTTTTCGGTCTCCCACAGACTATGTTCGCGCACTTCTTTCAACCTCTTCACCTTCGATTGCAAACACCTAGACGATTAATTTTAATCACAAAAAAATAATAAATTAATTAATTTTGATCCGATAATTGAAAAAATCAAAACGCCGTCGCGTCGGGTTGAGATTTTTACACGATGGAGCGGTCGTAGCGTTGCAGTTCGCGTCGAAGTTCGTCGAGCCGCCGCTGCCGCAACTGGTCGAGCCAGGGGATGGGGGATTTATCGTCGTCGCTGGCGGCGGACATGTTATCGGAGTGGTTAAAGCGGCGGTGGAGGTCGTGGAACTTGCGCTTGCAGGCGTGCGGGGTGAGGAGGTGAAGGTTGGAACTGCGCTTCCGGAGTTCGGTGGCGACGGAGTTCCAGCTCTGGGTGCCGAAGCGGTGGACGGCGCCGGCGAGGAGGAGCTCCTCCCACGTCCCCCATGTCGGTGTTTGTTTCTGGGGAAAATTAGGGGGCTTGTTATCCATAAGGAAAATCATTTAGTTAGTCCATTGTCTCTAAATAAGTTTCGGTTCTTCTGGTTTTGGCCTCTGCAAATTCCATGGATAATGTGTGATTTTAATTCCCTTGTTTTATTTGTTTGTATTGTGACATAGGAAAAGAGATCCCCTCTGGATCTCTCTTCCAAAGTCAAGGATTAAATAATTTAGATTTTTAAAATTTAATCTAACGGTTAAAAATTATTATAATTTTTAAAAATTTTTACTAACTGTTTTTAACTATTTGATCAAATTTTAAAGGTTCGAATTACTTAATTCTTAGGCTTTTGAGGGAGAGATCCAGAGAGAATCTCTTTCCATGATATAGGCACTTATCTTGAGTATGTTATAGCTTGTTTGGATATGCTTTTACTTTTGGTGAAAATATTTATAGAAGCAATTCTTAGAAAAAATGCTAGTAAATCCTAAAAAAAGTTGAAGTGTTTATTTGAAGAAGCACATAACTAGTGTTTCTTCCAAAAATATTTTTTCTAAAAACGCTTTCAGTTATTTTAAAAATACATTCAAATAAGTCCTTATACGCTTCGCACCTTACTGGCTTTGCTTTTGTCGGCCAAAATTACTATTTTGTTTCCTAGTTTTGTAGCATTTAAGTAAATTTACCTTTTTTCATCTTGACAAATATAATATTAATTTTAAATAATATTTACGTTTGTCAATTACGATTATAGTCTAATTGTATTTTTCTTTTCTTGTAAACGAAAGATTTTAGGTTCGATTCTCGTCAAAAATGAATTTGAATCCCATTATTATGACTAACCCATTGTGGCTCCACTCTCCTATTCCTTATGTAAATATATCGTTTGCTTAAAATAATACTTACTTTTCAAGGCACATGTTATATATTTTGCGAATAACATAAAATTCTATAATCTAAGCTTTAAAATTTTATTTGAAATTTATTTTTTGCAAAAAAAAACATTCTAGGCCACGTCTAGACGCCTAGGATAGGCTCGTGTTCGTCGTCTGACTAACGCCTAACACTTTTTAGAACCTTACTTCATAACATATTCATAATGAACCATCTATGTATTTACATATAAATGACAAAACGATCTCAATTTCGAATAATTTTTTTAATTTTCTTCTTAAGAGGAAAAATATGTACAAAATTGCAAATAACTTATTTTAGTACGCTCTATTTTCTTTCTTACACATATTTTCAGATAGGTAGTGGTTTTTGAGAGTGTAGAACCACTAAAATTCTTCAAAAAAAAAAAAATCAAATAAATGGATATGTTGCGTGTGTAACTGGTTATTGGTAATTGGGCTTTGGGCACCATATGCCTGGAAACTTCAATTGACCCAATGTGCACTTCATCGCCGAATGGACAGTCTACGCAAACCAAATTGATGGACCAAACTAATCCAAAACCGAGGGATTTTTTTCTTAAAAAAGTTAATAAAAAGAATTTGAAAATTTTAAATTTGAATCAAAAAGTTAAAAAAATATTGTAAATAAATAGTATCAGAAGTGATTTTTTAAAGTAAATATGTTATTTTTGTTAAAAGTAAATCGTTCTAAAAATGTTTCATTAAAATACATTTTTTTCCTTTCTTAATAATAACTTGTTTTTTAAATTTATTTATTGAATCTGTTTTCTTCTCCAAACTGATGGACCGAACCTTAACTGGACCGAACAAATTAATATTGTTCAATGCCCCTCTCGGTTTAGAAGTAAAGCAACCCAAACCAAGCCAAACTTGGGTCATGGAACTTCATCACCAAACTATTAATCAAAATATCTTATTATTCATCAATGTACATAATCAAAATATCTAACTCCCAAAATCAAAATTACAAAGACTAGCACAATTTTTGAATTTTGACAAATTCAGCGTCGACAAGGTGGCACCACCGATCAGTGACTGAGGGCCTTCTTCAGTTCCTCCGCCACATCGCCCTCCGGCGACTTATTCTTCCCGTTTGATCGCCAATCCACTTTCCCGCTCGAATTCCTACTTCCCCCATTTATCTCACTCTCAGGAAACGCATTCGAAATCGAAATCGACTTCGCGGCGCCGGCGATTTCGTGGCGCAGATCCTCCACGGCTTTTCTCAGCAACCCGTTCTCCGTCCGCAGAGCCTCCAGCTGATGCTTCGCCCTAAAACAAGCCTCCGCAACCTCAGCACTTCCCGGAAATGTCAACGCATTATCCGCCGCCGCCTTTGTGGTTTTGGCCTTCGAATCGCCACCGTCCACGTGTTCGATCCCGATCTTGTTCATCACCAGGTACGGGATTTTCTGAAACGCAATTCCCGCCGTTGGATTCACCCCAGCACTCTTTATCTCCGCCGGAACCTTAACCCCCCACCTCAAGTTCACCACGGCCCGGTTCCTCACCGGCATCGACGTCCTCGCCGCCACCTCCATCCCGGTGAACAAACCGGCAAGAAGTCCAGACGCCGGACCCTCCGATGGCAAAACCGTAATTTTCTTCCCCGAAAACTCCGCCTCCACTACCGGCGTCTCCGCCGCAACGGCGTCTTTCTCAGAACCCACGATCTTCTCGAAGACCGAGGACTGCGTCTTCTTGATCGAGAAATCGCCGAACTGGGGCTTAAAGTGGAGCATGAAGCTAGGGTTTCTCCCGCGGTCAAGGAGATTGAACTCGGCGCTCATCAGCATGGCGCTCGAAATCGGCGATCCGAAGGATCCCGTCCCGGTCTTGACGACGAGGGAGAAGGGGTTCCACGCGTCGTTGGGACGATACGCGATCTTGATGGACGGCCCGGATTCGAAGAAGGTGGCGAGGTTGAGAGTGAGCTCCTTGGACTCACCGGCAACGATTCCGGACTGGAAGGGCAGGCCCAGGATGCTGAGGGGCACCTTGGCCCTCAGCAACGGCTTCTGATCCTCCCGGAATTTGACCGACGCTTTCATTTTTCTGTCGTTGCAGAAAAACCCTAATTCTGAATTTTGGATGAAAGGGGGGCAAAAATTTATAGTCCCTTTTGCGTTGGATTTGACAGTGAACTGAGTTTTTGGCTGGATTTGGAGTTTCAAGTGGGAGTTGTCATCTGGATGGATGCATTAGGATTAGCCCTCGAGTTTGAATGATTTACGAAACTGGGGAGTGTCTGGATTTTGTTATCTGAGTGGTGTAATATTTACAAATGCTAGGGGTATATATAGGCTAGTAGCCGGAGCAAGAGATTGGTTTGGGGACACGTGGAAGGAGTTTAAATTTTACAAAAACATTTGGGAGGCCCTGAAATTTAAATTTTGGAATTTTAAAAATATTGGAAATAATTGAGCTGAGTAACGTTTAGGCGCAGAATTGATTGCTGAATGCTTGCTGGCTGCTAGGGTACCGAACTGAAACGGCTGTATAGATGATTTAGCAATACTAATTGCATTGTTTCAAAACCACAAGGAAAAATTCTCAAGTTATTTTTGACAAAACGCAAATTTTTTCAATTAGATTTGAATTTGAAACTGATCTGTAAAATCGTGTGTTTTTTTTAGATAAAAAGCAACATATTTCATTGATAAAGCCAAATTAAGCTAAGAAGTACATGGAATGGAGAAACAAAAGGAGATTTATCGAAGCAAATACAATTGCCTCCTGAATGGAGAGCAAACCTGGCAATTCTATGAGCAATGGAGTTAGCTTGTCGGCGAACATGGGTGAAAGAAACTTCAGCGATCATTCATGAAAGAAATTTGGCATCCCCTATAATAGGTCCAAGCGTAGACAAATCCATAGAGGAAGCAGTCAAAGCGGAGATGATCTAAAGCGAATCACTCTCAAAAACTATATTTTGTAAGCCCCTTCCTATCACCATCTCAAGCCCTGCTCTAACTGCTAGAGCTTCAATCTGCACCGGAGAGAAAACCTCCTGGAAAACAAACGAAGCAGCGCCAATAAAGTTACCATTGCAATCTCTGGTAACGAAGCCCGCCCCACCAACAGAAAAATATCCATCCCAGGCACCGTCCACATTAACTTTGAATTTGCCCGGCAGGGGCTTAGTCCATCTGTGGCAGCCAGCCTGACGCTCCATGGCGGCAGGTTAAAATCGAGATTTAGAAGTGTTAAAAGATTAGAATGATGAGAGCGATGTGGAATAAATATACGGAGAAGGACACACAATTAATAAGCGATAAACAGAGGGCTCCATATAAATCAATCGAGAGCGGAATCACCAATCCGCCAAGTTTTCAGAGGGAAGGATATTTTTTACCAGCGATGAAAAGGAGATGCGTAGCAGAAAGTCAGGCGATAGGCAACATTGGAACGTCAAGTTGAAGCATAATTTTGCAGGGTCTGGAAAATAGACACGTAACTTTTGCAAGACCCAGAAAATACTAAGACCATGTAACCTGCAAAATAAGGACACTGGCACACTGCAAATTAAACCAGTTATGTTATATAACTTATAAGATAGGTACTAGCCGCTTACCACACGTAATTGTAATTTAAAAAAGGATTTTTTTTTTTACAAAAAATAAAGTCCGACTACTTTTGAACGTGAGGGTGTTTTGTTTTGATTGTTGTAATTTATTTAATTAAACTGTCTTTTAAAAAATTGTAAGAAAGAGTAGCGAACATGGCTGCAAGGTGAAAGAGCCTCAGAGGTGGTGTAAACCGGATCAAGGGTGGCTGAAAATTAATTTTGACGGGGCATGGGATGAGTATCGTCAAATGGGTGGCTGCGGAGTGGCGGTAAGGGACATGAGGGGGGAGTTCGTGGCTGCTAAAGTGCAACGATTTGAGGATGTATGCTCACCGTTGTTGGCCGAGAGCTTGGCTGCTCGTGCAGCAGCAGAGTTTGCGCAGAAGTGGGGGGGATGCCCAGCTGCAACTAGAAGGAGATGCCTTAATGGTGGTGGGGAGTATTCAAAAGGATGCTAGCGCCAATTTCACTCAATTTGGCCATATCCTTGACGATACCCGACGTTTATTGTGCAATGTTTCCCAGCGCAAGGTTAACTTTTGCAAACGGGAGGCTAATAAAGTGGCTCACCGTCTTGCAAGGTTTAGCCTCACCTCCGTTCTTGACGTGGCTTGGTTTTGAAGACCTTCCAGATATCATTTTAGATGTCCATGTAGGAAATAAAATTTAATTTATGTTTATATTGGTGCGGGACACTCTTTTTTCTTTAGACCGGTTTGATCCTGATAAGGTTTTTATTGAGGCCCATGTTATGCACCCTTCTTCAACTTTGTATGTTTTCAACTACTATCAATGAATATCATACTTCCTCTTAAAAAAATTGTACGAATGAGGGGCATAATTTGGTATTATGGAGGTTTAGTAGTATTCATCTTCACTTATAAGTGAGAGGTCTTTTAGCAAGAAGCACACACTTGTGCTTTTAGCAGGAAGTACTTCAAGTGCTTTTGAAACCCAAAACATTTGTTTCTAAAAGTGTTTTTAATCATTTAAAAGCACTTGCGAAACAAGCCATAAAATTTGTAAGGATTTAAAAGATTTTAAAATTATGATGTAGTCAACTAGGATTTTAAAACAAGATTTTAAAAGACTTTGAGAAGTGAAAAGACTTAAATTCTAAACCTATATTCTTATTTCTTATATTTGGAGGCCCAAAATGTGGTGGCATTATGCATTTTAATAGGAAGTACTTCAAATGCTTTTGAAACCCAAAACATTTGTTTCTAAAAGTGTTTTCAATCATTTAAAAGCACTTGCGAAACAAACCATAAAATTTGTAAGGATTTAAAAGATTTTAAAATTATGGTGTAGTTAACTATGATTTTAAAAGAAGATTTTAAAAGACTTTAAGAAATGAAAAAATTTAAATTCTAAACCTATATTCTTATTTCTTATATTTGGAGCCCCAAAATGTGGTGGAATTATGCATTTTAGTTTTCTTCTCTAATGCAAAGACTCATGTCTTAAAACTTATATTCGAGGATAACACATTAGATGCAAACATGTTTGTCCATTTGTTTTTCTATAATGAATGTCCTTTTAGGGTGAGATAAAATGTATTAATTATTCCTAAAAGTAGTCAATTATATATTTTAACTATCGAAATAAAAACACGACATTACGATTTAGTAGCATTGCCTTTGAAAAAAGGCTATACTTTGATTGCGGAAGAGAAAAATCGAACCCAGACCTTCTATGCATAAGTAAATGCTATTTCATTGTTTTATTTTTGTCTTATTCACTTGTCAAACTATTACGTTGTTCTTGCCATGTAGAACTACGGTCTAGTGGTAGTCCTCTTTGCTTGTAAGTGAGAGATCTGATATTTAATTTTCACTAAAAACGAATTTAAACCATATTATTATTAGTCCACTATAAGGCTCAGTCCACAATTTCACTTAATATAGCTTATATAGTTGTTCAAAAAATAAAAATTAAAAAAAGCCTTTTACGTTGCCCTTATGTAGCTTGCCAAAGAAGATACAGCAAAGCTTACACAGCAACCCAAAGAGTCGGAGACATCTCAACCGTCCATCGTGTTGACTAACCAGTGCCCTTGTACCATGAGTCCACTTCGCGAGGAGCAATCAAAAGGGAGGTGTAGAATCCAACGGCCGCGTAAAACAGAGATGAAGAGGGAAACCAACTCTTCAAATTCCTATGAATATTAGGGTTTTATTTTTCACTTTTTTAATTTAAATTCTCGAAAAATAATTTCGAGCCCCGAAGCTTCTGTAAACGACAACCCTAATTATATTTAACCGGGAAAGTTACTGACAAAATATTTTTCTATTAATTTTCTTGGTTTGTAAGTTTTGCCGGGAAAGCTCGGAGAGAAAGTTGCCTTGCAGAGATGGTGAAGCGTGAATTCGTCAGTAGCGGCAGCGGTGGAAGAGATGAAATTGAACGACCGCAAGCGGTGCCGGACCGGAGAGCTCTCCGATCACGCTATTTTAATGTGAAGAGCATTATCCACGGTATCTACTTATCAATCTTGTACTTTTTGTTTCTTAATTATGTGTTTGATATATGATTTCGGGGTTTGTTTGCAACTATGTATAGTTTTGAGTTTTGAAAATTTGTTATTCTCTGTTTGGTTGCTGAGAAAGTTAATCGTATTGTGTGATTTTTTTGCCCTCGTATAGAATTATTTGTTGTTATTCTGTGTTTGGTTGCTGAGAAAAGAGATTTTTTTGTGGAGACTGAGTGTCACATCACCAAGTGGTGTTATCAATCTACTTTAGTTATAGGAGTTGTATCTGTTTGTTGAAACTATACCTTATGTCCGTAAAATATAAACTTTGTCGTCCACCGCTTTATAATATGCGGGTTAATAACATCATGTGGCGGTCACGCTCAAGAATTTCCCTAACGAAAGATCATCATATTTTTTTTTTCTCCCATTATATTGTTTCCATATATGAGTTAGAACAAGAATTAAGTACTTTACGAAGGATGAATAATCGTGTCGGCTTGCATAAAGGAAGTGTAATTGTTTTTGGGGTTCAAAGGAATGAAATTATGGGAAATCTTATGGTTTAAATTTGAGTTCTTTTGTTCTAATTAGCTTCCCCTTCTTGTGTAACTGATACGGATATGAAGATAAAAGAGAGGACATTACGAAAGTGGATTCGGAGAAGTTCAATTTGATCATCAATGAAGTGGAGAGCTTGCATGAGCTTGGTAAATTCCCTTTTCTGTCATAGATTTTCTCGATCAAATTACAATATTTGTATCTAATTTAGGCTTAATCAATGATTTGCTACGAATTTCAGTTCAAAATCCGAGAGAACAAGTTGCTGACGCAGAAGCGCTTTTGGACATTACAACCCACTTGATGAGCTCCGTCAAGGCACATAACAAGGAAGGAATCACAACTACAGGTTTCGTCAAGTGTATTCTCAAACAGTTCGAGAAACGAAGTCAAAGTGGAAGCAGCTCAGTCTCATGGAAGGATATTGGAAGGGCAGTCTCGCATGTTTACCAGAAACCTCCCCAATGCTGCACTATGTAATAATAGTATTTGATTTTTTATGTTCTTTATATGTGATTCCTTCTGTTTCAAACTCTCTGAGGAATTATACAGTTTGCTCTTCCTTCAGGATTGGACCTATGAGTCTTGAAGTAAAGCAACGGAAGAGTTATGTTCGTGCAAAACGCGTGAAGCCTACAGAAAATGATACCCCTGAAGAGGTAAGAGTGGTTTATCTCATTGGTAATTTCTTCAAGAACATATAATTTGCACCCCTTTCTCTTCCCTATTTAATCGTGTACTGCTTCTAATCATTAAGTGCTTACTTGGAAGCCTCCTGAAACTTTGAGCGGTTACCAAAATTCACTGTAACTTTGTGCAGCTTCATGATGCTGTTGAAGAAGAGCAACCGGAGACTGTTAAAAATGTGTCAGCTATGTTCAATATCTTGAGGAAGAAGAGAAGAGTTAGGTTTGAAAATCTAGTCTTGAATGGGAATTCTTTTGCGCAGACGGTGGAAAATATATTTGCCCTCTCGTTTCTAGTTAAAGATGGGCGGGCGGAACTAAAATTGAATGAGGAAGGCCATCATCTAGTTTGTAAGTTCCTCTACAAATGCTCACCTTCATGTGTCTGGTGGCTTATTCTCTTCCATTTCTTATTTGGTCATTTATTTGGTTTTGTGTTTGTTACTTCAGTGCCAAGGAATGCTCCTTCTGCTGAAAAAATTGCTTCTGGGGAGGTTACTTACAGACACTTTGTCTTCCGATTTGATTTCCAGGACTGGAAGGTAGTTAAAGTTGACGCCTTCATCGATTATATGTTTTATTATAGCTGATTTAATGGAAGATTTTCCTCTAATAAAATGGTGCATTTGCGAAATTCTCAGTTCATGAAAGAGATTGTTGGGGATGGCGAGCAGCTGATGCCACACAGGACCTATGAAGTAAACAAATCAAGTGATCATCAAGGCGATTTGCAATGCAAAGAATCTCAAACAACGCCAATTAGGAAGCTCTCCAGAAACAGAGGCTTGGTTATGCAGGAGCAGCCAGTTGGGGAAGGCATGGCTGAGCCTGATACTAATCAATCGATTGTGGAAGACTCGCCTGTGCGCGATTACGCTCAAGAAAGCGCCAATGCCATCCGAAAAGGGAAGCGTAAAATGATGTGAAGCTGTATCAAGGGATGAAGATCATGAAGTATACTTATTTTGCTGACAAATAGGATTGTTGGTCTATAAGTTTAAACCGGCTTGTATAGGCAGATGCATTAGGACTAGGACTTCACCATCATCTCTTTGGTCCTTTTCTCTTTCACTTCCTTTAGTTTACGCTATTATGTAAAAGAAAATTCACAATATTTTGGCCAACTTGACTAAATCGTATATGCTTACTCAATTTCACAAATTGTTATTAGCACTAAAAAAAAATTCTACTCCTCCCTCCCTTATTTATTTCACTAGGTAGGAAAGAATAATTATGATAGTTTTTTTAGTGTTGGTAACAACTTCATTTTTGTTAGATTATTAAAAGGCTTTTCAGTCAAACTGATTTTTACGATTGTTATAACTCTTTATTTTGGTCAAACAATAAAAATTGATAGAAGTAGTCTTTGAGTTTGTCCAACACAAATCATTTTTGTCCTTCCATGAAAAACCTTTCAATATTAATGAGTGGAATGATTGATTTAACAAAAATCGTCATGTGGTCGTTCATGTGACAATTTTACAAGGGTATTGATAAATTTTTATCGGAATGACTAAAATAAGGAGTTATGCCAATCTCATATACCATTTTGGCTAAATAAAAACAGTTGAAAATAACTTTAAAATATGAAAAATAATAAAATCCCATCAGGAATGGTGGAAATTTCATTGCACCCTTCATTTTGGTTCTGAATAACAATTACACCAACAATGTTATTTTTGATTCAGCATACAGCAGAACAATGTCAACACCAAAAATGGATTCCAACTAAAAAGACCCTACTACCCTCAGTTCTCGAAGGAAAACACCCTTGTTATTTTTGACCTCTATAGCGCTAGCACAGGAGCTACTTTGCGGCCTTTGGAATATCAAGCTTTTCAAAAACTGGGCTGTCGACTCCAACTCCCATCGCATTCAGGCCATTGTCGACGTATAGGACAGTCCCGGTGATGGCTGATGCCAATGGCGATGCTAGGAAGGCAGCAGCGTTCCCCACCTCCTCTGTTTACACGAAGGTTTAAACTTTATTTAAGATGGCGAGGTAAAATCTTGTCTAATGAAGAATGGAAAATATGAAATTCGTGCTCGTATTTGGTTGTGTACATAATCACTCACCTGCAGATAATTCCTTCTGCAAGGGTGCATTTTCCGACGAGTAATCAATCATCATATCAATGAATCCAATTGCCTTTGCCGCACGACTTCTTAATGGTCCTGCGTAAGGGAGAAAAAGAAAACACAAATAAGAAAATTGGGAGAACATAGAACTGTGCAGCATATAGGGTTTGACAAAAGTATGATGTCTAGATAAGTTTGGAGCCCCAACTAGCTATTTCGTGAAACATCTTCCATTTAGATACCATTATCGCTTATCAACACCATACATCAACTGTTGAGGGTTGACTTTAACAACGAAGGCCTAACAACTGCTCTCAATTCCTAAGTAACTAATTAGCTTTATCGTCAAAAGCATACATGTAACATAGATGTTTCAGTTTCAGAGCGTAACATTTTTTACCACAAGGTGGTCAAGTTATGTTACCATTAAGAGTGGAAGACAGATTCTGTCAACAGAAAATAACTGTCGTACCTGCAGATATTGTGTTGACTCTAATGTTGTGCTTTCTTCCAGCTTCAAAGGCCAGCACCTGAATCAAGCATGGAAATACGATACATATATGTTTCATTACAAAAAATTGGGAGAAATCTCGATATGTTAAATCCGAAAATATTTTTAAAACAAAACAATCCAAAGACTCACACGTGTGTCACTCTCTAGAGCAGCCTTCGCTGAACTCATGCCTCCACCATATCTGCAAGTAGAATACATAAAATAAAAATCTGTTCTGAGAATAAGTATTGACGAGTAGTTGTAATCCAAGAAGACAAGTACCCTGGAATGATCCTTTCTGAAGCAATGTATGTTAGAGAGAGTGAAGCACCACCTGTCATGATAACATTTACCCTTAGATTCTTTTCTTTGTCTAGAAACATTCGCTAGAACATCACAGGATTCTTAAAAAAAGAAGAGGGGAGAAAGCGGGGAGGAAAAATAAATAACTAAAGTTAGAGCCGTGCCTGGGTTCATTATTGGAGCAAAATGCTTGAGTAAAGAAACATATGAGTAACTTGATGCAGAGATGGCTGCAAGATATCCATGTCTTGACGTCTCCAAAAGAGGTTTGGTAACCTGTACATGATACATTGACTTCCTAAGTAACACGAAGATCTTAAACCACGTTGCAAAACCAAAAGTTGAAAAGAGATTCACCTCTGGTCCATTGGCAAGTGAGTGGACAAGGATGTCAATGCTGCCAAAATCCTGCTTTACAGATTCAACCACCTCCTGCAAAGCATTTAAACAGAATCAGACAACCCAGCTGGCCGGGCCAATTTCTTAACCCAACATCTGGAAACAACACCTATAATATAGAAGAATTTGAGCTCGACCAAATTCAATCATAACCTATATGTTTGCAAATGAGCTTGAGACATTTCAAGCATCTAATTGACCATGAAGTTCAGCGACCAAAAACATCTGGAAACATCATACCTCTAACACAATCTATTTTTCATCTTGAAGATCGCATATACTGAGCGACCAATCTCATGGCACATTACTAGGGGTATGGAGGTTTCTGTCTCCTTATGCCAGGGTTATATGATAATAACTTTCAGTATTTTTTTGTCGGGTTTAAGCTATGGGAAATTACACTAGATAGGCCAAACTTATATCCAAGCTTTTATGTTTTAGGAGGGAAAGGGAGGAGTCAAGGCCCTGACTGGTCCCCCCCCCTTCCTTTTGGCTCTGTGTGTCACTTAAAGGCCGAAAGAATAGTCATTATCTGCGAGCTGGTAATATTAATTTAATAACTTCAATTGCACTGTAATCTGGTGAACAAAAATGGTACCTTAACAGTCCAATTTGAGGACCCCAAGTAGCGTTTATTGGTTTTTATCTGCAGAAAACACGATACGAGCATCACTACGAATATAATTTAGCTCAAATTTTATATTCCAGAAACTAAAATCAGGAGATTCATACATCTTCAGGAACATCCTCGGGACTGTCAAAAACTGCATCCAATGGGTAAACCTTGGTAATTTCCATCAAAGAGCCATCTGGCAGTCTGCAAGGGGAAAAAGAAACAGAAGGAAAGCCTGAATTAGACAAAGATAGAATATAGATAACATCAACAGATTTGCATGAAATGCAGGAAATGAAAAATCTGTTCTTACGTGCGTGACTCATCAAACTTTCCACGCCTTAAACTGGATTCAAAAATGTTAAGTGCCTATACCAAAGAAAACTTCGTTAAAAAAATAGTTTTGTCAAAAGTTAAGGCTCCAATATCACTAGCGAATTCAGTTGTATAAATTTACATACCGGCACCCATGTACCAACTAGAATTTCAGCTCCCGCAGCAGCAAGAGCTTTTGATATTGCCCATCCATATCCATGGTCATCAGCCACACCAGCTATGAATGCTCTCTTTCCTGCAAATAGCTGTCACAGTGTTAGATGCAGTATATTCTATGTTCTTCTTGTGTGAACATTTATCATCAAACGTAATCTATCTTAGAAAGCTAATACTTCGATAGTTACTTTTTTGTCCAAAACTTTTGTCACCCTGTTTTTGGGATCATAATTTAAATTATCATTGACGAAAATGACAAAGACCCTCTCGAGAAGCTTCATCAGAAATATTCTACCCTAATAACTTTTTTTGCTCGATTTTAATTGTGCATCATTAGCATGCAAGTTTGTCACAACAAAGAAAAACACAGCAGCTCATTAAACAAGTTACAAATTTGAGTACTCAAGCACAATTTCTGGAAGAAAGATGTTTGACCTCTCAAATCAATAGGCAATCCTGGCAGTGGAGTGTTCTCAGCTACTCCTGACATTGCTCTTGTGACAACCTCTATGGATTTCACAGGCCCTGATTTCAAGCTCTGGGAGAATGACCGTGTTGCTGAGATGTGAGAAGAACTCTTAAGCCTTCTCCAAACCCCCAACTCGCTGTTTTTACCAAACTTTGCAAGGCATGACATATAAATTCCTTGAGAGGACGACATGCAAGGCTTCACCGCTGCCATGTGTGATCCGGGTGCTACAGTCGTGGCCATTTCAGATACAAATCACCAGAAACCGACACAAAACTCTGCAAGATCAAGAAGCATACACATTAGTAAGTTCACACTTGACACATGTTATCAGCAACTATTAGTATATCTCCGATGCCGAGTCTTAACTACTAACACAGGCAGTAATTAAACATCTTTTCTTCGTAAAAAATAAAAACAAAACAAGAAACAGTAAACGGTGTCCTCTGATACAAAAAAATACAATCAAATTATATGATCAAATCTTAACAGGGATGAACAGCTAACTTGGCAAACCATTTTATCAGAAATTATTGGGTAAATACTTGAATTAAGTGGTATTGATAAGTAAGATTAAAATAACAACATCACATAAAGATTAGTTCTTTTCACTTCGCTAGCACAATCTGAACCAATTTCTCAACAAATTCATCTCAAACTCAAATAAAACAACAAATTTGGAAACAAAAACATATACAAAACATTCAGTCAACCCAGATTAAACCCTCCTAAAATGCTAACAACGTGATCGAATCCTAAGTTTGAACTGATCAGGAGTCGGTGGAGATGCATGAACACTGAACCCATTTCATAGAAAGATTCGAAGACTCACCTCCGACTTGCGCTGAGGTGTGTTGGGGACAGAAGAGCGAGGTTTCGTTGGAGCGTTTACATGAAATGTGAGCGTCTGTCTGCTTTTGTGCCGGGGGTTTCGATGAAATCGAGGTGTCTGGTTTGTTGGATGGTTGGTGTTGCTGACCGTTGAGTGTTGCGGAACTTCGTAAATGCCGAATGAGGTTGGAGGAGAGATCGTTGAGCTGCGTTGTTTTTGGCGCCCTTGTGAAATGACGTTTTTGCCCTCCTTCTTATTGGGCCTTTTGGTTTGGGCTTCTGTATAGCAATTTGAGTTATAAACATCAAACGGAATCGGGTAACACTATTTAACGATAAATATACGATACAAGTAAATATACCATCAATTGGTAGTTTTTTAAATTGCTAATACAAGCAATGCTGGAAAACATCACTTGAATTACAAGAGACTCGAAGATAATTCTCTAACCACTTGAATTACAAGCCTCTTACACTTTTAATTGACAATTTTAATTTGTCGTAGTTTTAGTTTTGAAAAACATCTTGATGGTATGTCACTAGGAGTGTAACAATGGTTCTTTATACCTATAAGTTAGAAGTTTAAAGTTTGACTCTTATAAATTACGAGTTTAGTAATAAAATTTTATGACTAATCAATTTCGTGGCTTCGCACAAATATCCTCTAAAATAAAATACTTATGGTTCTTTTTTTATTTTTCTTTTTTTTGGTGAAAAGGATGACAACTAGTGGCAAGTCACGATTATCCACCCCTTTCAGATCCGGAGAGACTATGGGGAAATACTTATAGTTCCAAGAAAATAGAAAAAGATTTATTATTATTATTATTATTATTTATTTGTGTATATATTGATGACTTGTTTGTGAACAACAACTCTTGCATGGATGAGTCGGGCCTTTGATGTGTATTGGAAGCTTTGAACAGGCTGTGTGGGTTATGGATGCATTGGGCCTTTCTTTGTACTTTTTAAACCCCATTCACAGTCTCCTAAGCTAAAGTAACTTTTGTTACCATTTTAACTCTTGCTATTTCACATAGGGAAAGTTTACACTACTTTTTTCATGCATTAATTGGCGACATTTGAATTTAATTCAAACAAAAAATAAACAAAAGTATAAATGACAATAAAAAAGGTTCGGAATATTTATTTATTGTTATAAACTTTGTATTGCAATTTCTTGGGAGGTCAACTAAACATACTTTAGTTGTCACTTCATCTAATCATGCTGAAATTCTCACCTTACACGAAGCAACTCAAGAATGCTTTTGGCTTAGAGCAGTTGTGCACCATATTCGAAGCTCCTGCAATCTTTACCCCATTATTGACATCCTGACGATGATCTATGCATGCATCGAACATCTCAAGAAGGTTACATTAAATGAGACAACACCAATCACATTGTGCCGAAGTTCTTCTTCTCACATCAACAACAAGAGCATTAGAAGTTTGAAGTCACGCAAATCCGTTCACAAGACAATTTGGCCGACCTCTTCACCAAATCACTACCAAAGGCGATGTTTCAGAAGCTTGTTCAAGGAATAGGTGTGTATAAACTTTATGAGTTGTAACATTGTTAGTTCTCTTTGGAATTATGTCAGATTCAAGGGGAGTATCCTGAAGTATACTTGCTTGATTTTTATGTACTCTTTTTCCCTGCAATTAGAAGCATTATCCTTTTGGGTTTTTACTACCTAACAAGGTTTTGATGAGGCACCCACCTTGGGTTGATCACATCCCTAATGACGTCCTGTAGACGTTTCAATTAACTTTGCATTTCTCACGCATTTTTCCTTAGACTATGGGTTTTGTCCCCACTTGGGTTTTACCATAGCCATTGGGTTTTTTGTGAGACTTAGTTCCATACACAAGTTCCTACTTTACTTTGAAACTAGTATGTTCCCAGAATTAGTGTCGACGGTCGTCTTCGTCAACACTACATGATGTCGAATCTACTTCATTATTTACATACTCAAGGGGGAGTGCTATAATCTTTGTATTTAAGTGTGATTGTGTAAATCTTAGATTTGATTCTAATTATTCTTCCCTATTAGGACTTGTATTCCTTGAAGGAGAAGAATCCCTCCCTTATTACTATAAATAAAGACATTGCATAGGGAGAATAACACATCATTTACACAACCCTACAAACACATTTCTCTCCCTACTCTCTCTGACGTGCACTCTCTCTCTCCCTATTAGATAAAATAAGCCACAACATTTATTTATTTCTACTGTCCCAATTGAAGTTTTTAGCGAATTCGTGACATTATTTTTTTTTTTTTTACAATTTCTCAGTAACATATTTTGACGACCCAAATGCTCTATATTTTAGAACATTATTCGTAAGTCATACATGAAAAGAATTAGACAAATTCAAAACCATTAAGACATTTATTTGAAGTGAAGAAAATAGATGAATACGGCTCTAAAAATAACCGTGAAACCTTAATCCAATGATCATATAATTTTAGATTGTGTGATTTTTTATAGACATGATATTTAAAGGAAGACTTAAAAGATAGAGAGTTCGGATTGTGAAAATACATTACAAAATATGTCCCACAAAAATGTGTGTAAAATTTTTTGTAAAACAAATGGCGTCACAGATCCGTTCCATATATATATATATATATATATATTTAATGTTTTTACGTTATTAACTTGTTATACATTACCAATCTGTTTTATCATCTGTCAAAAACAAACCAGGAAAGGACTTGAATTTCATTAACCAAAATTCAGTGAATTTGTTTTAGATTTTTGTAAGTAATAAAATTAGAAAATGGGTAAGTAATTATCTTACTGCAAACCCAGCATATTGGCGGCAACAAGCGGAACCCTATTTTCGTTTTTTTTTTTTTTTCAAATTACTAAATATTTATTAAAAAATATTATCATGTACGAATATTTATTATGGTAATTTCTTGATATTTTAATAAAATAAAAATAAATAGTTAATAATATAATAAATAATATCCCAAAGCTCTGGACTTTCCCACTCTCATATTCGAAGCCGCTTTTTTTTTTTTTTTTTAATCCCTCCAGCAGCTGCTGTTCTTCCTCTTCCACTTCCAGAACCTTTCTTCTAAGGTTAGGGTTTGGGCTAGGGTTTTCCTTTCTGTGTCCCTTCTTCTCTAATCCTCTCTCTCGGGTTTTCTGTAGCAGGAATCTAGGGATTCTTTCATTGTTTCTGTGCTCTCTTGGTCGTCGTTTTGTGGTGGGTTGGATTCGTTTCGGATCTCGATCTGCGTTCTGGAATAATGGATAGTCGTAAAAGAGGTCGACATGAAGGTGGCGGCTTTCACTCTAATGGCGGCTTCAAGAAGAACAAGCAAGGTTCGCTCTTTGCTTTCTCACACTCTGTTTCTTGTGAATCTGGGGAATTCACTGTTTTTTTTCGTTAGTTTTATCTTCTTCTTTTTTGTTGTAGTTTTCCTACTATTTTTTTTCCATTTTCTGTTTGGTTGCTGAGAAAGTTTATGAAGCTTGAAATTCCCTTAGCTGCATAAAGATTCCTCATTCTTTTTTGCAATTTGGGTTTATTGGATGTGGAATGTATTTCAAATATCTATGATGTGTTTCTTAAATCTTGGTAATTTCTGAATTTTTATATTTTTGGTAGTTTGTGTTCTTTCATAATGACCCTAAGTTTGTGTCCTTCAAATGAAGTTGCTTTCGATGTGCTTGATAAAACACAGAATAATCGTCTTGAATTTGATGGTTAATGTATTTAAATAAAATCATGTTGTACTTGGATTATTTGGACTAGGATTATACAGGTGACTAATTTTAATCTTTCTATCGCTTTGGTTCAAACTTTTAAATGATTTTGAGATGCTCTACAACAATTGGATTAAGGATCAGGAGAAAATGTAACTGAGAGAAAGTAATTAATGTTTTGTAACAGAATTGGAGTCCTTTTCAACTGGTGTAGGAAGCAAATCGAAGCCATGCACCAAATTTTTCAGGTTCAAATCTTTCTCATCGAAGTAAATATCATGAAATTTATCTTATCAATTTTAAGGCCGTGGTACGATTTTATAAAATTTCAACTTATAGTTGTTACAAAATGAAATCTTATAATTGCACTAATGAACTGGGAGTTCATAGTTGTTATACAGGTACACACTTTGCTTTGGTCGAATGAAGTTGACAAATTCCGTGTAACAGAAAACTGATTTATTTATGAATTACATGGATAATCATTCACTAGACCACATTTCGCCCTAATGAAATATAATGAGATTGAGCATTGCATGTAAATTATCTGCACTGTACCTTGTAGCTCAATTAATGTTCTCGTTTTATCTCAAACATTGGTAAGATATAATTGAATGGTACATTTTCTGGATTTTTGTAAAAAATTTAAGCTGTCAATTAATGTTCTCGTTTTATCTCAAACATTGGTAAGATATAATTGAATGGTACATTTTCTGGATTTTTGTAAAAAATTTAAGCTGTCAATTAATGTTCTCGTTTTATCTCAAACATTGGTAAGATATAATTGAATGGTACATTTTCTGGATTTTTGTAAAAAATTTAAGCTGTTGTACCGTGCAACTCAGATATCACAACTTGCGCTGACCCATTTTTGCTAAATTGTGAGTTAATTGCCCATACCTTTTGTTTAAGCTCTTGATCACAACATTGGATAGATATGAAGATGTTTTCTTCTTATCGCATAGAAAACTTAGCTCATAAATAACATATTTCAGTCACAATGATATGAGGCACCTGTCCAATGAAAAAAAAAAAAACTTTTGATATTAGCTCCAAATATTATTTTGTAGTGGAGAGGCTTTTCTTTCTTTTTCCTTCTTTTGTCTTCATCTTTGTGTCTTTACAATGGGAATGGAGGGAAGATTGATTGGGGTTCTCTACAATCTTACAGAATCTCGGGTCTTTTGTTAGTGACTATCTTTTTTTCAGTTATAGGTACTGAGTTTGAATTACATGATTCTTGCAAATTGTATATATTCTGAAACGCTTTATAATCTTAGCCGTTTAAATAATACTCAAGGAATCTAGGAACCAAATTTTGAAATCAAAATGAGCCAACTATGAAAATTTGAGCACCTAAATAGCTTATGGGTTCCTGCAAATCAGTAATGTTTAGATTACAGGAGTCTTTGTAACACTTATAATGGGTTTGTGATCAGTTGCTTTACCATATCTTATTGTACTAAGATCTATAATTCATCTTATAATCTATATATATATATATGTGTGTGTGTGTGTGTTCCTGAAATTTTCTTGTTTGAATTTAGATTGAATTGCATTCTCAATTCGATGTCATTGGTATCAGGTTTATGGATTTGTGATTTTTGTGCAAATGGAGGGATGTGATTTGTCTGGTTAACTATTTTCTGTAATCTAAAACTTTTTATGAAATTCATCTTTACCTGTACAGTGATACTCTGTCAGTCCTTGACAATGCTAGGAGGAACTGTAGACTGTTCAACCTTATTACTTTGCTTCAAATTGAGTGAACACTGTCGGCCTGAGCTTCCATGTTTGTTTGTAGATAAAAGTTATTAATTGTTCGTAGTTATCTGAGTAGAGAACTCTATGATTCTGGTTGCAGCACTGCTGGATGTCCTTTTGGTGAGAGTTGCCATTTCCTGCACTACGTTCCTGGAGGTTACAATGCCGTAGCTAAAATGATGAATCTGGCGCCTGCTCCTCCACCACCTAGGAACATTCCTGGCCCACCATCCCATTCCAATGGATCCAATTCATCTGGAGTTAAATCACGCATGTGCAGTAAATATAATTCTCCTGAAGGCTGCAAATTTGGTGACAAATGTCATTTTGCTCATGGTGAGTGGGAACTCGGCAAGCCTCTTGCTCAGTCCCACGATGATCCACGTGCCATGGGACCTGGTCCAGGCCGTATGGGTAATTGGATGGAGCCACACCTGGCAGGCCCTGCATCTAGCTTTGGTGCCTCATCTACAGCAAAAATCAGTGTGGATGCTTCACATGCAGGAGCCATAATTGGGAAGGGTGGTGTGCATTCGAAGCAGATTTGTCTCCAGACAGGAGCGAAGCTTTCAATCCGGGACCATGAGTCAAATCCCAATCTCAGGAACATTGAACTTGAGGGGACCTTTGAACAGATTCAGCAAGCTAGTGCCATGGTAAGCGAGCTAATTGCGACTGTTTCAACCTCTGGCCCTGGAAAGGCTCCAGGAGCAGGAGGAGGAGGAGGAGGAGGAGGAGGAGGAGGCCGAGGAGCCCCAGCCCCTCCCAGAAGTAACTATAAGACGAAACTATGTGATAATTTTACCAAAGGGACTTGCACATTTGGAGAAAGATGTCACTTTGCACACGGGGCTGCTGAATTGCGGAAGTCTGGAGTGTGAGTGCTCTTTTTGAATATTTTTTCTTGCAGTCAGAATCGTGTTCCAGTGGGAGAGCTGTTTTGATTTGTCGATGTGCAATACCACCCAGATGAATTTACAGATAATGATATCTGAGGTTTTTGTAGGCATAAACGTTACTTTCTGAATATATGTCTTATGTGCTTGACATTTTCCTTGTGTTAAAAACTGGGTTAAAGGAACATTTTTATTTTGTTGCTCCAAAAATGTTAATAATTTTGATGAGATTTGAAGGTGGTGATATGATTTTACCCGTGTAATTCATTGGCTTGGAAAGTGAAAGACAAGCTTTGCTTGCAAAGCAAGCCAGTAAACTGCTGAATTAGCCATTACAAAAGAGCTAGAGGGGGAAACGTGGAATGAACGCGGCTTGCATCACGGAATCAGAAAGTTACGTAATTCTTTTTTCTTTTGATTTATTCAATCTATTCGGTTTAAAAAAAAAAATAATAATAATTATAACCTAGCTCAATAGTCTTAGGTGTCAGGTGTGAGTGGAGATTGGCAACAAGATCAGGAATCTGGACGGCAGAAGCTGTACAACTCTAACTTTTGTATACTAAATGAATTATTACCATTGGTTCAATGTAAAGTAAGGAAGAGAATAAAAACTCTTTATAAGAATAAATACTCTTTCATTGTCTCCACCATCATGAAGTTGACGTAAGTCTCGCAAATTTCATCCTGTAAAGATCTCAGAGACGAGCCAACTGTTTGGTATTATAAAACCAATATTTCTCTCCAACTTGTCGGATCTTCTCCGGATTTTTTAGTGTAAATTGTGAGAATTCATGAATCGTGTCCGTTCATCGTATATCGTGCTGTCATTTTTGGTCAGGTAATGTTTGTGTTTAATTTTAAATAAAAATATTTAAAATAATTTTTGACCGCACGATGTACGATAAATGGACATGATTCACGGATTCCTAGAATTCTCATAAAGAGGATCCGGCGAAGATCCGAATTCCTTACCACATATCAAGCACAACATGTGTGAGAGTGTTATCACAAAAAAGTATGTTGCAACTAGTAGTCTAGTAGGGAATTGGATCCGCTCCGAACCTTAGTGTCCGAAACCTAGGGATCAATTCACCTGGGCCACACAAATTCAATCCAACAGTCCCCATGAATTCATTTTTCTGGCCCACCACACAAAACCAACGGCTTTGATTTCTTTTACACACTAATCTGTAGCCCAGATGATTTGATCTCTAGGCTCCGAACATTAAGGTCTGGAGCGGATCCAATTTAGTTTAGCAGTGGAACCATTTAATTTATTAACATTTGTTAATTGTACAATTAAAGATATAAAATTCAAACTCTCTCTAACAACCAAGGACACAGTCTATGTGAAAGTTGTTGGAAAATATTAGTATTTTGGTTTATTTGAATGTTTGGTTTTCTGGTCTTAGCCCGTTAGCATTAAGGTTTTGATTTCTTACCTTTTAGGATTATGGTTAGTTTATTATAAATAGCATGTTTGTTATTCAGTCGAGAACAAGTTAGTCACAATGTAATATCTTAGGGTTTTGTAGCCGTTTCGGCATTCTTTGTTTGTTTAATAATATTCTTATTATTTTGTAGTTGTGTTTGTTTCACACTTTGATATTCAAATAAAGTCTTGTGTGCTCTTAAAGCACTACCGATAAAAAAAAAATTAAATAGGTGAGACAAGCGCCTATTAAGCAAATGAATGGCTATTCTCGCACATCACTTTCCCATAGTTTGTGTCACATCCCAGTCCGCCAAGATATTGTCCATTTTGGACCACGCCCTCACGAATTTATTCTTGGGTTTCGGCACGAGAACTTCCCAGAGGATCATTCATCCTAGGACTGCTCTTGCTCAAACTCACTTAATTTCGGAGTTCTTATGGGATCCGAAGCCAGTAAGTTCTCAAAATGCGTCTTGCAATGGGAGGTGAGCATGCACATATAAGGCATAGATGATCCTTTCCCTTGGGCGATATAGGATCTTAGAGCTTGTACCGCTTATTATAGAACCCACTATTTCAACTACTAAAAATACGCAACTTAATACTACGGTTTAGTGGTATTCCTCTTCAGTAAGTGAAAGGTCTTAGGTTCAATTTTTGCCAAAATCATATTTGAACCACATTATTGTTAACTATTGTGAGGCTAAACTCACCCCCTTCATTTTAGTATAGAATATCATTTGTTAAAATAAAATAAAATAAAATAAAAGTACACAAAAACCCACACAATCTCACCAGCGAGTCCAAGTTGAAATTTCAATCATATCAACTTTCCACCAATCTTATTATAAAATGAGAAAATGCTAAGAAACTATTTTAAAATGATACTTTTTATAATTTTTTCGCAACTTCATATTTTTAACATAATTTTCTTATTAACATTATAAAATAATGAGGTGGTGAAAATTTCATATAGGTTCCTATTTTCAGAAAGCCTTCTTATCATTTCTTTGATAAAAAAGCTCATCCGAATACACATTTATAATAGCTTTTTGTATTATTAAGATAAGGACATGTAAAAAATAGTCACATGTCTTTGTATTACTGACACAAATACCACGATAGCGCTATAACGTGTTTCTAACCTAATCGAATTATAATGTCAAACTTGAGGGTTTAGACATTTTTTTTTTTTTAAATGTTAATCATGAAATTTTGTTTCAAAATATCTGATTGCCAACCTGAAAAGATATTCGGCCAGTGTTGAAAGTAGACAAGAGAATATAAATGGAGGGAGAGAAACATGATCCAGAGCCCGACCGGTTGGTGTCATATCCGACTTTAGGAACCTATCAGAATATAAAGCATGCGCATTACAACAGGATACCTCAAAAGTTTTCCCAATTAATCTGATTTTTCTAAGGGCCATAAGTTAGCTAGATCTGAATATTTAAGCTTCTTGTCGGAGGGAGTTCATGCAGGACACGATTTCCATTTGAGTTTGTGGTTGGTGGGAGCTCCATCAAGAGTTTTATAATTTGAAATCGCTCAAAGCAGAAAGAAAGTAAACTTCTTTTGGTTTCATGACCTTACGTTGTGAAAAGCAATTAGTTAGATGATCGTATTCATAGTTTGTCTCGTCTAATTTGTTTAAGTTTTTTTTACTCATTATGTGTGTATGTTGTGCAAAGCAATTAGTTTGATGATCATATTCATAGTTTGTCTCGTCTAATTTCTGGTTTAAGTCTTTTTCACTTATTATGTGTGTGTTTTGTGATCTTTATCATTAATTAACACGTATTAAATTTATAACAACAGTTAAAATAATTTTTTTTTGTGAATTTTATTATTAATTGACACACGAATTAAGTTTATAACATAGTTAAAAGAATTAAATGTCTATTAATATAGAGACCACAAAATTAGCGCAAAACATTTGAACTTGTCTAAATCCTTCCAATCCAAGATTATAGAAATATCTCTCTTTAATTTTTTCAAACAAATAATATTATTGTAAAGAAACTAATTATACACTGATAAGAGGACTAGACTCATCTCACAATGAACTAGCAATAATGTAGTTCAAATTCTCTTTTAACGAAAATCAAACCTAAAACCACTTATTTACAAGTAAAAGAAATACAACTGAACTCGAATCTAAAACCTCTTATTCACCATTAAAAAAAAATACCACTAGTAGTAAATGACATATAATATCTCTCCGTTTATATTGGAATTTTTATTTATTATCCAATTATAAAATAATAATGAACCATAATTAGCCACATAGTCGGGCAGAGATCCAATCTACTACCCACACAATCTAAATCTAAAAAGTCATTGGGGTCCAAATATTATATAATGGTGCCAAATTTTATTCAATTCAAACTTACAAATATGAAGAAAAAGCAATTTCAACTCAACCCATTAAAGCCATTAAAAAAATAACCATAAAAACACGGCCTATTACATAATGACCCCCAAAAGAAAGGGTCCACACACGGCCGAACTCAAAGCCCACACCATGGCCAATAACTTGAAAATAAAGGGTCCGGCTCAACTGTAGGTCCCACCAGTCCCATAATTGGTTGCATTCCCACCTACGTTAGTATTATGGCCTGTTGTCCTACCCGTACCCGTGTTGGTCCCAATAGGGTGCGCCTCCGCCACCACACCCTCCGTCACTTGGCCCGCGGGCTGCCCGGTGCCGTGACCGGGAAGTGCGGACATCTGGTGAGTTCCAGTCGGCTGCCCTGCGGCCCCAGTAGTGGAATACGTGCGGGTCCCAGTGCCAGTTTTACCGGTTGCAGTATAGCCGGTAGACACTGCCACATCCCGCCTAGCCGCCGCGTTTTGCTCCATCGCTTCACGCTTGTTGACCTCGGCCTCGACGATTCTCTCCTCTTTCTTTCGGGCCGCCATGTCCTTTTCAACTGGGTCACTGGACTTCATCTTCTCCACCTACGCAAAACCACATCATCTTACAAAAAAAATAAAAAACAATAAAAAGTAACGCGTTGAGTGACTTCCAATCTTCGCGGCTGATGCAGATTTTTTCTCGATATTATGTTCAAATCCCATGGTAGCGAAGAAAGTGATTCACTTAAAAGTTAAAAAACTCGTTAAAACAAGGAAAAAATTACTACATGGCAGAGGTTATAATATATATAACCTTTTCTTGCACGGTGGCCTTGGTCTTTTCCATGCCAGACGTGGCAGAGGCTGCTACGTTAGCAGCTGCTTCTTTCATTGACTCCATCGTGTTCTTCCCACTCTGCATTTTCACTCTCTTCTTTCCTTTTTCTTAGAAATTCTTATATGTAGCAGCTGCTTGATATGACTGTTGAGGAGTTCTGGGTTACGACGCGTGTAGTAAGTACTAGAGAGCTGAGGTGGAGCTGGAGAAAAGTATCACGGTTTCTGTGTGGACACGTGTGCACACGTGTCGGATAGGCGCTGACAGTGTGTGTGATGCAGCAGTTTTGGAAGTTTGGTCAGTTACGTGGCGAAGAGGTGACGGGAGTAGATTAATAACGCGTTGCCTTTGGTGTATGAACGTCGGTATGGAGCGACTGCTGTCCGGATTTTATTTATTTATCTTCTTCTTTTTGTTGAAACGACTGGGTTTTATACTGTTATTGGATGCTGTAGAATTGTCAGAGAAACGGAGCATTGATCAACTTTCAACAATATTGATATTATCTTTAATTTGCTAATTATAACACAATCCATCAAATATATTTTATCAT